CCCAAATGATTAAGTACATTTTTGTGAACGACTTCAGTGGCTAGGTCGAGTCTTTGGTTCGCCATGTTTAACGTTGTCTCTGTAGCTATCTTTTCTTTACCCTTTCTCACTTTTCTCGCAAAATAAAGTTCTACCCTATCGTTCGTAAAAAAATCATTTCGCTTCAAATATCTCTTAACATTGTCACCAAATTTAGTATCGTCACGTAATGATTCTAACAATTTTCGAAGTGCATCTATGCCGTCTGATAAGGAAGTATAACCGAAATACGAATAAAAATTTTTAGCAACTAATGTATGATTTGTTAATTGCTGGTAAACATATTGATATTCTGTAAGTCGAGGTTCCATTGTACTGTAGCGTAGTGATTTGTAAAGACCAGACGCGAAAACGATATATTTTTTAAAGTGAAAAAGCACTGACGACAGGCATGATCTAAATTTTGGGTCCACAATTTTTTTATTGGTCAGGTCACATGAAAAATAAAAAAATTTACAAATTTTATATTCCCTGATAACTTACGTAGCAAGTTTTCTCTGACTATATTTATTTTTTTTTCTACACACCACTTCCTCTAAAGGTATGTTAATTGACTTTTATTACACTTAGTTTTATAGTATATTCTTCTTAGGGGCAGTTTTTGCCTTTCGAGGCAGGCCTGGGATCCGACTGTTCCCTCCCCATTGTTACTATTATTGAGGGCGTGATCGTCAAATCATGATTATCTTGTTGCGAGGAGAGGAAGACCGAACGAGCTTCCCGTTTAACGCTGAGCTACAAGATAAGAAATGGTTTGAATGTATCCACCTTAAATATTACTTCTATTTAACTTCGTAATAAATTATTATACATTATCTCATGAGATGTTTTCTGAATATATATTCTTTAGCATAAGACTCAATCGGAAACCGCTAAGGAGATTAAAAGGACACAATTTGGATGAATGTGTAAAAAAAATAAATAGATTTATTGTACGTATTATTGTTATAATTATACATGGATACACGAATGCATATTATGCTATACGGGTGGTTCCCATCTGCTATTTTAATAGAGAATCTATAGCCTGGAGAACTCGGCGCACATACTCACAATTATTGATCAAATTTAAAAAGTCTACACTAGTTTCTTCTTCCAAGATATTGTTACAGTACCGTGGCCTTCTTAACAGCAGTACTATAACAATGACATGGCTACAGGGATCTTTTACAGGTTTATAGCAGTGTCTAACAGGTAAGTATAATTTCTACTACAACTAGAAACTATACCCTTCTGTCTGTGGCAG